GAGTCCAACCCAAACAATGCCTACCAGCTGAGTGGCAGCTCCAGTTCCACTCATTTCTGGGTTTATAATATTTCATTTTTATCTGTTAATCACCCACTCCTCTCTCCAGTGCCAAGCAGGGAGCTGCCAATCCCTGCTGGACCTGAGAGCTGGTGAGAGCAAAGCTTTAGGTTTGGGAGCACCAAAAATCCTTCTTTTTTCCTGGAGCTTTTTCTCCAGGCTGGGGTCACACCAAGGACACGCACGGCCTAAACAAAGGCTTAAGGAATTACTTGGCAGCGCGTGCAGCTCGGGAGATTAACAATGATTTACAAAACCTTTCACCTCCCAGGCCGAAATCCTGCAAGCTCTGGAGCAGGGAAGAGCCCGAGATCCAGGCAGGGATTGCATTATTCCCACCAATAATTATTCCCAGTATTGGCACTTGGGGAAGAGCCCAGAGACCATCCCCCCAAAAATCACCGAGGAAAAGCCAAATAAATCCTAATTTTCACAATTTCACAAATCCACAAAATTCTCCAGTGAGAAACCTCCGAGATTCCCCCTCTATCCCAAGGCTGCAGCTGGAAAATTTCCCTTGGCTCCCACCTAGCCCGTGTTTGCTGCTTGTTGAGCTGTCCTCTCCTAGTCCCTGACACTGGCAATGACCAATTCCAGCCTTGTTTTCCAACATTTTTGCATTTCCTGGGACTTTTATGCCCTGCTCAGCGCTCTCCTCCTCACTAGGCTAAACAAACCCAGCTTTCCAAGCTCCCTGTGTTTTCCCAGCCTCCCCGCAGGGCATTTCCTCACGGAGGACATGGAGGTAGAGGAAATGCCAGCTGATTTCCACAGGGTAATTCCAACAGAATTCCAGAGCCTGTGGAACAGCAGAGCCGGGCGTGAGTTCAGCTGGCTCAGACTGAGCAGCTCCAGCAGGAACGTGACCCAGGGATTTCCTCACTCCTCTCTCCCAGCTCTGCCAGCTGCCCTGGGAGCTGCTCTCCCACCCTTTGGAGGCGGGAGACGGAGGAAAAAAACTGGAATTTGGGAGGGTGGGAGCTCAGCGGGTCGTGCAGGGAGGTGGGAATTGCAGAGGGGACGCTGTGGGAGTTGGTGGTGAACGTTACACCTCCAGGGGTTTCCTGCTCTAATTGGCAGCTGGATTGGGAAGAAATTCCTCACTGTGAGGGTGGTGAGGGGCTGGATGGAATTCTCAGGGAAGCTGTGGCTGCCCAGGACCTGGAAATGTCCCAGGCCAGGATGGACGGGGCTTGGAGCAACCTGGGATTGTGGAAGTTGTCCCTTCGCATGGCAGGGGTGGAATGGGGTGGACTTTGAGGTCCTTTCCAACCCAAACCATCCCAAAATTCTGTTTTTACTGCCCTAACTCTGGGAATCTGCTAGGCAGGAGGGACAGGACGCAGGGAATGGCTCCCCACCGCCAGAGGGAAGGGTAAAATGGGATATTGGGAAGGAATTCTTCCCTGCAACACTGGTGAGGTCCCGGGATAGAATTCCCAGAGCAGCTGCGGCTGCCCTGGATCCCTGGCGGTGCCCAGGGCCAGGCTGGAACAAGCCCAGCAGAAGGTGCCCTGCCCATGTCTGGGGGTGGGATCAGATGGTTTTTAAGGCTTTTCCAACCCGTTTTGGGGCTGCTGCCTGCTCACCTCCTGCCTGAAGGCCTTTCGGAAGCCGCTGTGGCTGCTGGGGGCGAAGGCGCGGCCGGGCACGCAGCTGACGACCGCGGGCATCCCGTTGGCACAGCTGCTGTTCTTCGCCGTGCCCGTCAGGTGGTTGCCCAGCTTGCAGCTGGAAATGTGCGCCTCGTTCCCACTGCAGTCCATGGAGTAAGCCCAGTAGTGCTGCTTCCTTCTGCTGGCAAACATCCTGAAAGGAGTGGAGGAGGAGGGGAGAAGTGAGGGATCCGTAAACAAATTGATTTTGCTGGATTTTCGGGAGGGAAAACGCCCTGGGATGAAGTGAGGATTGGACAGGGTTATTTGGAGGCTGATCTGTTCATCCACACCATGACCCTGTTGGAGTGTCACTTAAAAACATGGGATCATTCAGGCTGGAAAAGACCTCCAAGGCAATCAAGTCCAACCACTTTCAAATAAATAAATCCCTGCAAGAACTAAAAAGTGTAGGAATCAAAGGTGCAGCAAATGAGACATTCCCAGGAGCGCAGATCCCATCCCAGGCAGGGACAGGGATCAGCTAATTCCAAACAAAGAGGATTTGTGCAGATAACTGGGCTGGAGAGCCCCCAAGAAAACCTTCCCCTTTTGCTGACCAGCAGCTATCAGCTGGGATTGGGAAAAATCCAAAGCCTCTCTGAGTCTGTGTTAACAACCTGAGAGCAATTTCCGAGAGCACGAGCAACTCCCCCGCTGCCTTGTTCACAGCAGAGCAGCCTGGCAGCAGCTCCTGCTTCTCGCTCCCAAACTTCCTGGAGCTGCTCCAGGCACTCCTGAGCAGGAAGAGGCACGTGTGATAAACTGGGAAAGGGAAGGGATCCAGCTCCATCCTAACTGGGAAAATGGAAATATGGGTCAGGTCAGCCTCACAAAGGAGTTAAAGGCAGGGAAGGCTCCGGGGAGCCCACGCCCTGCTGGGATCTCCACGTGGCTCTGTGGGATCCCGGCGCTGTTCCTCATTCCAGGAATCTCTGCCACGCAGAGCTGGGATCAGGGATTAGCTGTGGTAAATGGCACAGCGAGGTGGGTGGAATCTGGGGGGAAAAAGCAGCTTTGCTGCAGCACAGAGAGCCTGGGGAGAGGGGCTAAGAGCCTTTCTGAGGGGGCTTTTGGTGACCCCACTGAGCACGTCCAGGCTTTGCCAGGTTTTTCCTTTAGGATTTAGATTCGGCAGGGTCACAGATGTTTGAGGGGACACTTTTCTCCCCTGTGCTCACTGAGCTCTGCTGCCCAGCTCAGCATTTCTGCAGCTCTCCTGGCTCCCAGGCTCTCACTAATGCTTCACTAATGATGTCCCTGGGCTGAGGCTGGGGATGGATCCAGCCAGGCTGGAGAGGGAGCAGCGACTGCATCCCATGATGCTGGAAAAGGATGGAGCAGGGCCGAGGTCCATCCCAGGGAACAGCAGCAGGACCCTGCCTGCCCTGTGGGGAAAAGTGGCTGTCAGAACCCACCTCTGGCACAGCAGAGCTCTCAGGGACTCCCTGAATCGAGAAAAAAGGGGTGGGAAAATAGGAATAGAGTTAAAAATTTTTAAATTTTAAAATTTTTAAAACTCAGGGAGGATGCAGTACAAAGCTGCCACTTCCCAGCCGTGCTCAGGACAGAAGGGAGGACCTGAGGGAGCATTTTCATCCTTCACAGACAGGTCCAGAGAGCTCCATGAACTCCAGAGCAGACAAGAACCAGCCTGACTTAGGGAAGCAGGGATGAGGATGCCTTAGAATAGCAAGCAATGACCTCATCCTGGAAAATTCATGAGGCATCAACATCTGGATGGAATTAAGAGCCCTCGGGAGGCTGGGGAGAAATAAAGCCCCACCTCGTGTCCCCAGACTGAATCTATGTAAAAAAAGCAGAATTCAGCTGATCTTTGCAGCCAGAAACTCGGGGCTCTGCTGATGTTTTGTTTTTAACACAAAAGGGTCCAGCTGGGATCAGTGGGAGCCCAGGGTGATGCTGCTCAGGTCAGAGGTGGGAATGAACATTCCTGCTGGGAGAGTTCGGCCAGTTCCAGGGCAAGCTGGAATTCAAACTCCTACTGGTGAGGAGAGAGGGATTTTCATCCCAGAAAAGCTTGAAACAAAGCACGAGTGGAGCTCTGTGGGAAGGGTTGGTTAAGGAGCACTCAGGGTATTCCACGATTCCACGATTTGGGCAGCAGAGAACAAATCATTGCACACAAACCCCAGGAAAATTCACCTAAATCCCACTGAGCAGAGGCTGGGGAGCTCCCGGGGGCTGTGAGCAGAGCTTTCAACCCTTGGGAAATTCCTAAAGTTGGCAAGGTGCTGCCTTCAGCCTCGGGGAGGAGGGAGGGAAGCCAGGCCTGCCAAAGCCCTTCCGATCCCAGTTTTTCCAGGGAAAAAACAAACCAGGAGGGTTCCCACTACAAATACTGAAGCGATGAGCTGCCCAGCACCTCTGAGTGGGTTGGTAACGGGGTGAGCACACTGGCTCAATGGGGAGTAGCTGTTTGATCCTGGAGCCAAGCCTTTGCCAAGTCACAAAGACTTCAAAAAGGCATCAGGCCCATCTCTCTGATCCCAAATTTCTCCTCTCTCCATCAGCAAAATGCATTAAATCCTGCCAGAGCAGGAACTGGGAGGAGGAGGAGGAGTTACAGCAATTCCTGTATAAAAGCCACTGTGAGGAATGAGCAAGACCAGGGACTCAACTTTAGATTTGTTCCACTTCCGACCATAAATCGCGCCGTCAGCTCCAGAGTTACAGTCAGGAATAAACCCCTGGCAGCGGGACAAGGGTGAACTCACTTGTTTTCTTTTGAGCAAGATCCATCTGCAAATCATTTCACCTCCCAGCATCGTGCAGGGGCAGAGCTGGGCAGGCGGGCTGGGGCTGGGGGCAGTGGGATGGGGGGATGTGGGAAGGGGCAGCCTTGGCCAGCAGAAACCTGATCCCAGCTGTGGAGGAGGAGTGGGGCAGGATCTGCTCCAGGGAGAAGGGGATTCTCAAATTAAAGGGAGCAATGAGGAGAAAGGACTTTTCTGCAGCTTCACATTCACAGGGAGAGGGGGTTTGGCTCCAGGATGAGCTTTTCCCTCTTCAAAACAAACCATGTGGGACGAGCATCCCCTGGCCCAGGTGAGGAGGTGTCACTGGTCATCATCCCAGTGCCTTGACCACAAATCCAAGGTCATTCCCAGCCCAGAACTGGGAGCTTTCCCAGCAAAACCAGCTGAACACGATGCATCCGCCCATAACACAGAGAGGGAAGTGGCCCAAGGGAGAATTCAGCTTTTAAACTCTGCTGACAAACAAAACCGTGCAGCTGCCAAAGCTTTACAAGCCTCTCCCCTCCAATAAAATGCCATCCCCATTTTTTTTTTCCAACCCGGGATAATGCTCAGCGGGTTTTCCAAAATATTTGTGGGTGCTGGAGCCCAGGAAGGCCGAAAACAAGGAAAGGGAGGGAGGTCCTGGGGCGCTGAGGCTCTCCAGCAGCAGAGATCCCCTGGGCTGGGATTTGGGAGCACTTCATATTCCTAATTCCAGCTCAGTTCAGTGGGATTTTCAGCAGTGCTGAGCTGCTGCTGAACAACCTTCCGTCAGTCTTTCCATTTCCATGTGTCCCAGGGACAGAACAACTCCTGAGCACCCTTTTATTTAAGGCAGATGGCTCCAGATGCTCTGGTTAATGCTTTTCTTGGAAAGGCCACAAGTGGAAGCAGGAAAAATCTACTTTGTCTGTCTGGAGGTGATTTATTCCCTGCTCCTGCAGGGGGTGGGAATCTCAGGGATGGGTTTGAGGGAAATGTGCTGCACTGGTGGAAGCAAACCATCCTGAAACTTGTGTCCAGGGCAACGAATGCCCTGCTTATCTCCCTGGGAATCCTGCAGGCTGAATTCCAGTGGGTTCTTCATTCCCCATTTTCTCTGTGTGGCTTTGGGCTATTCCGAGCCAAGGACCTCTCCAGCAGATCAGGATCTTGCTAATGAAAGAAACGAAACGTGGCCAGGCTGTTCCAGAGGGAATGTTCCGAAATAGCAATTCCACAGGCCAGGAGGAGCAGGCAGGAAAACCACGGCTCCTGCCTGGGGCTCCCCTGGAGCAGCCGCTGCTTTCCCAGCCCCAGGTCATGGAGCAGCAAAGGAACCAGACAGAATTTCATTTAAACTCTTTTACATCTGCTTTAGAGTGTTTTTCCTAAGGAACAGTGTGGGAAGAGCCCAGTCTGGGGTGAGGGCTTGGTGACAAAAAGCAAACAGAAGCAATGACAACAAAAAATGTCCAGAGCTCCTGGCTCCCAAGGAACAGGAAACGCAGCCTAAACCTTTCTGCTTGCAGCTCTGGAAAACACAATGTTCTCCCTATAAATCACTGCTTTCTTCCTTCATTTTAAAGCAATCTGCAAATCTAGGGAGGAAAAGCAGCACTGAGATTACGGGGAACCCTTTTCCCAGCACCTTTTCTGGGATGCACAGACAGGAATTGCACTCGGGGTGGGAAGGAGGAACCTGGGCACAAGAAAGCACAAAAGGGCTCATTTTATTCCAAGGTGACTTCTTTGGAGCTTCCAGCACATCCAGAACTGATCCCACCTCTGGATTTCTGCATGGGGATGGGGTGAGCAGTTGGAGACTTTACATTATGGAATGACAGGACACAGGGAATGGCTTCAAACTGACAGAGGGCAGGGAGAGCTGGGATGGAATTCCCAGAGGAGCTGTGGCAGCCCCTGGATCCCTGGAAGTGTCCAAGGCCACCTTGGAGCAAACTGGTCTCGTGGAAGGTGTCTCTGCCATGGCAGGGGTGGCACTGGATGGGCTGTAAATCCCTTCCAACCCAAAACCATTCCACAGTTTTCTCATAGCTGATGGATTTCCTGGGACAGTGGGAGCAGTTTGTGCCCTGCCCACCACACAGAGCCCATCCCTGCTGGAGGAAATGTCCATCCTCAAGCAGGTATTACAAAAGACAAGTATTTTTTGGGCCAAGTGTCCCAATCTCCCATTCCAGGCCCTGTCAAACACTGATACTCATCAAGGTCTGCGTCCCATGGATGAGGATCAAAGACCAGGAAGGGCTGGACATTCCAAACACTCACACAAATTAAAATTCCATCTGGGGGAACAAAGCAGTTGGAGCTTTTCCTCCCCCAGGGTCCCCAGTGCCACCTGCCAATCTGTGTTGGGAACAAGGCCCCGAGTGTTCCAAGGAACGTTTGTGGCTCCCACCAGTGGGAATCCAGGGAATCCCTCTGGCTGCCCTGGGACCCTGGCAGGGTCAGGAACCCCCTGGACAGAGCCCCCAGAGACACTGGCTGTGATCTCTGTCCATGGAAAAGAGTTTTCAATCTCACAGGATCAATTAGCAGCTCTGAGGGTTTGATATCAGTAATAATTAAGTGTGGCACAGGTGCAAAAGTAAAATTTTAGGATTCTGGATGAGGGGTCCAAAGGGGACAAGATGGAGGAAATTGGGTGTGCCTTGTCCTTTTTCTCCTTCTTCATGCCCTCCATGTCTCACTGTGGTGTTGGCATTTTTCTGTTGGTTCAGGCTGGGCACACACTGTCCAACGGAGGTGACAGATATTGGCACGTTATTGTCAATCCAGCCCAGGGAGTTTCTGGTATTTAATGTTTGTCACATCCCACTGAGGGCAGAGCCCCACACGCTGCCCTGCAGGACAGAGCTGGGCAGGGCAGCAGAACATGTGAGAGATCAACAGAATAAACAACCTGGAAACCAGCACAGACCAATTCTGGCTTCTGCTTTGGCAGGGGGCTGACAGACAGAGACTTTTACAATCTCAGAATCATCAATACCACAGATTCCAACACCCACCAAGCCCTGCCCTTACTTGTAGACGTTGGTGTTGTATTTCCTCTCGCTCGGGAAGCCGAACATCCCGCAGACCACCCGGGAGTTCTTCATGGTCCAGTGCTTGTCACAGATCTGTTTCCAGGTGCCCTCATCCTTCACCTCCACGTAGCCCTCGGTGACAGGGACCCGCTTGCGGTAGGTGGCCAGGATGGCGCGGATCCGGATGTCCTCCACCTGGATGTTCATGTTCTGTGGGTGGGAAATCAACGGGAATGATGCTGGATTGTAGGGAAATGCATTTTGGAAATTCCAGGTGGGGTCACAGGATCACAGCCCAACTGTGGGCAGCTTCTGTGGGTGGAAAATCAACGGGAATGATGCTGGATTGTAGGGAAATGAGCTGTGAGGTTCCAGGTGGGATCACAGGATCACAGCCCAGCTGTGGGCAGCTTCTGTGGGTGGGAAATAAATGGGAATGATGCTGGATTGTAGGGAAACGGGTTTTGGAAATTCCAGGTGGGGTCACAGCCCAACTGTGGGCAGCTTCCATGGGTGGGAAATAAACGGGAATGATGCTGGATTGTAGGGAAACGGGTTTTGGAAATTCCAGGTGGGGTCACAGCCCAACTGTGGGCAGCTTCCATGGGTGGGAAATAAATGGGAATGATGCTGGATTGTAGGGAATGGGTTTTGGAAATTCCAGGTGGGGTCACAGCCCAGCTGCAGTCCGGCAGGGCAGAAAGGATGAGGTGTTGAGGGAGGGAGCGGGCAGAGAAGCAGAGGAAGGACAGGAAAACAGGGATTCAAACTTCCAGAGGGCAGGGTTAGATGGGATATTTGGGATAAATTCTTCCCTGTGAGGGGTTGGGATGGAATTCCCAGAGGAGCTGTGGCTGCCCCATCCCTGGAAGTGTCCAAGGCCAGGTTGGAGCAACCTGGGACAGTGGGAGGTGTCCCTGCCAATTGCAGGCGTGGAATGAGCTGATTTTAATCCCTTCCAACCCAAACCTTTCTGGGATTTTACGAAACAAACCCTTCCACCTTGTGTAAATCCATCCTCTGGAAGAAGATTCTTTTTCTCATTAAAGAAAAAGCTCTAATTCATTTTGTGAGTAGCCACATAACAACTCTGCTTTGTCACTTCAGTTCCAAGTGCTATTTTCACCTTCATTTAGCCCCTGTTCCTGTGGAAATAAAGCAAGCTCAGCTTTGTTAGGGCCAAATTTACTCACAGAATCATTCCGGGCGCAGGGAGCTGGAAGCCCTGGCACGGAAGGACTTTGGGGTTTTTCATCCAAAGCCATGATTTCATGTGGAATCTGGGATTCCAAGGTGCTGACAGCAGCGCTTCTCCGGCTCCTCCTCCACAACCTGGGATAGCAAGTGAGTCATGGAAAACGGATGGATTTCACATGTGGCACCTACGTGAGGACACCGAGCAGTCCTCAAAGACTTCGGGGGCTAATTTTGGCTGGAGGGGGCAAATCCAGGCTGGAAAAGATCCCTGAGGTCCAAAATCAGCCCTGCAGGGGCAAATCCTGGCTGGAAAAGATCCCCCCGAGGGCACAAATCAGCCCTGCAGAGCCTCAGGGACAAATCCTGGCTGGAAAAGAAGCAAATCCAGGCTGGAAAATATCCCCGAGGGCAAAATGAAGACCTGAAGGGGCAAATCCTGTCTGGAAATGATCCCTGAGGGAAAAAATCAGGCCTGCAGTGCCTCAGGGATAAATCCTGGCTAGAGGGGGCAAATCTTGGCTGGAGAAGATCCCTGAGGGCAAAAAACAAAACTGCAAGAACCAGAGAGGCAAATCCTGGCTGGAAAATATCCCTGAGGGCAAAAATGAGACCTGCAGTGCCACAGAAACAAATCCTGGCTGGAATATACCTGTGAGGGCACAAACCAGCCCGGCAGGACCCCAGGGGCGAATCCTAGATAGAAAATAAGAAAATCCAGGCTGGAAAAATATCCCTGAGGGCAAAAATCAGCCCTGCAGGGGCAAATCCTGGCTGGAAAATGTCCCTGAGGGCAGAAATCAGACTTCCAGAGCCTCAGGGATAAATATTGGATGGAAAAGGTCCATCAGGGCAAAAATCAGACCTGCAGAGCCACAGAAACAAACCCTGGCTCGAAAATACCTGTGAGGGCAAAATCCAGACCTGCAGGACCCCATGGGCAAACTCTGGCTGGAAAATATCCATGAGGGCAAAAAAATCAGACCTGCAGAGCCTCAGGGATAAATCCTGGCTAGAAAAGAAACAAATCCTGGCTGGAAAATACCTGTGAGGGCAAAAATCAGACCTGCAGGGGCAAGTCCTGGCTGGAAAAAATACCTGAGGGAAAAAATCAGACCTGCAGAGCCCCAGAAACAAATCCTGGCCCGAAAATATCTGTGAGGGCAAAATCCAGACCTGCAGGACCCCATGGGCAAACTCTGGTTGGAAAATATCCCTGAGGGCAAAAATGAGAGCCTTAGGGGCAAATCCTGGCTAGAGGGGGCAAATCTTGGCTGGAGAAGATCCCTGAGGGCAAAATTAAGACCTGCAGGGGCAAATCCAGGCTGGAAAAGATCCTAAAGGGCACAAACCAGCCCTGCAGGGCCCCAGGGGCAAATCCTAGCTAGAATAGAAGCAAATCCAGGCTGTAAAATATCCCTGAAGGCAAAAATCAGCCCTGCAGGGGAAAATCCAGGCTGGAAAAGATCCTAAAGGGCACAAATCAGCCCTGCAGAGCCTCAGGGACAAATCCTGGCTGGAAAAGTCCTCTGTGGCAAGCGGTTACAAAAGAGCTTCTGAAAAATGGATCAATTCCCTTCCAGGAGCCTTGTCCTTGTCAAATATGTGCAAACCCACGTGGTCCCGCTCGGGGTTACATCAGAACTGAGGAATCCTCGGATTCAGCCGCTCGGAAAAGAAAAAACTGCCCGGAAAAAAGAAAAGCTGCCCGGAGCTTGGAAGGGCCACGGGCCTCTGGCCAGGGCGAGATGGGAGCAGGACCTGCCCAGTCCTGCAGGTTCTGTGGCTCATCCATTCCCCAGCTGCTTTCACTGGTGCTGACACACCAAGCAGAGCCAAGGGAAGGGCAGGGAAAGGCTGCTGGGGCAGGAAATGGGGCAGGGAGTGGGGCAGGGAATGGGGTTGGCATCTCCTCCTCAGCTCTGCCCACACCACTGTGGACAACTCACTTAAAGCTTCCCCCCCTCCTTTTCCTTGTTCCCCTTCTGCCTTTCTGTCTTTTATTTGTCTACATTTGCCACCCAGTTTTGCAAATCACCGATTCCCGCTCTCCCCCCTCAGCTGCAGGAATTAAATTCTCCAAAATTTGAGCTGGAGCATCCCTCAACCCCTGGAAAACAGGATTTATCTGATGCTGCTACTCACATAGGCGTCACAGGCTGGGCTCCAGTTTTGAAAGCTCTCGTAGCCCTCAAGAATTAAAAATAACCCCTGTGATACCCAAATTTGTTATATCTGAGGCAATTTCAGGTGTTCCAGGGGTCTGATGTAAGAGGGGATTTGAAACCTCTCCAGTGGAGCCTGAGAAATCCATTTGCAGCACGAAATTTCTCCTGAGCTTGGCAGTTTCTCCTAAAACCTTGCAGAGTTTTTGAGTACGTGCTGTCAGGAAGGTATCGGAGCCTCAGGGCATTCCAGGCCTCCCCAGGCTGCTTTCCAAACCCTGCAGCTCGCTTTTCCCTGGTGCAATTTAGGAAACGTTTCCAGCTTTTGCCTCGATGGAGAAATTGTGTTTACTCAGGGCTGTCAGAGGGAACTTTGTTCCCCTGCTTCTCCTACCCTGCCTCGTTTTCTTCACCAGGAAAAAAAGTAATAGAAGCCTTAAATCCGGTTGGAAACAACTCTGGGTGCTGAAGATGTCCAAGTGTTTTTAATAAAAGCCATTTAAAGAGATTAACCCAAAGGCCAGGGAGCCAGCACTTCAAACTGTGCTGGAAAAGCACCTGGGAAAAGATGGGAAACAGGAGGAAATTCTCACTGGCAGCTGGGAAAGTGGGAGAGGGAGTTTTCCATCTGTGACTGTGGGATTCATCCATCCTGCAGGAAGCCCTGGGCAGGTTTGAGACCCAGAGTTAGGTGAGGATCAGCTCTGCTGCACATTAAAGTGGCAGAAATGGGACATTTTCCTTCCAGACCTGGCATCGGCAATGCGCTAAAGCCCACACAGGGTTTTCAAGAGGGACACCCTCGTCTCTTTTCCTTGGATTTAGGCTGGCTGGAGGCCACAGCTGGTCCTTGGAACGAGTTCACACCCAGGAATGCTGCTCCAGGTGCTGTGTTCTGTGTTTCTGTGAGGAAGCTGCCCCACAGCTCAGCCCCCTTCAGTCGTGGGCCGTTCCGGATGTTGAACATCTGCCTGGTGCTTCCCAGGATCAACATCCCCACGTTCCACCTCTTTGTCAGCATGGAACGTCCCTGTTCTCGCTGCTGGGCCATCCCAGGGAATGTCACCCGGGTGGGAAACCTGGAAAACCCCCAAGGCAAACAGAGGGGTGGAAGGACTCCCTTGGGCTCCATCTTGGAGCTCTTTTCCAGCCTCAAGGATTCCTGGGAGGGAGCAGCAATTCCCAAATTCCTTCTGGGCAGGAATCAGGTTCAGAGAGAGCAAACTGCTTCTTCAAAGGCCCCAAAACCAGGGAATCCTATCCAGTATCCTGAGGATCCCCCCTGCAGCGGGGAACACAACAGAACCCCTAAAGCAGCCACCTTCTCATCAAGAATATTTGGGTTTTTCTCCCCTTATCCAACAGATTTGGGATTTCCCTTTTCTTCCCACTCCTCCAGCCAGGCAGGAGCTCTGTTCCCCAAATCCCAACAAATCCCTGGCAGCTGCCAGAGGCTGAGAACACTGAGCAGGGTAACAGGGAGCCATCCTTCCCTGCTGTGCTCCCGCAGCTTCCAGGTATCTCCACCTCATGGATTTTCCAATCCAGAGGGTGGATTTTCAGTGCTCCAAAGCCCTGGATGGATCTGGGAATGCCTTGCTGGGATTTATGGCATCACAGCATCAGGCAGAGAAAGAAAAGAGCGAAGCTGAGAAGGAGAAAAGTCACAATGATGCAAAAAATAATAAAAAAACCCCCCCTTTTTAAAAATGGGAAGCTTGGGAATGCTGGCAGATACTTTGGGATTTGCCTGTTATTTTTGCAATTATTTCTGCAGCTTAACAAATCAAAAGAAGTTGTTCCAGCTGTTTCCAGAAGAGCTCTGAGCAGAGCAGGAGTGGAGTGTCCATG